TGTGATTAGGTTGATCAAAAATGTAGTACAGCCTGAGTCTGGATTCCTGTTTTAGGGGCTATGAGGGGTATTGGGAAGATGAAAGGGTTGATCAGTTCATTCACCATTGGGTTGTTTTTGCCTTTGTCCTTGCTGTCTTAGGAATCCAGCGACTGGTCATCATTGGCTGAAGCTCCCTGCCTTTGGCTTTAAGAGTTGACATGTGGCTTGAGATGCTACTGGGACCCCATTTCCAGGATTGCTCATGCTGAGAGAGTGTAGGGTTATTGCCTATCCTCAAGTACTGACATCGTCTTCCCACCAGAGAGGTGGACCCCACATGTCCAACCACAGTAATTCCAATATCACTGATTCAATAAGTCTTGGGACAATGATGAATCAGGTGCTGGGCCAATTCCAGTTTCACTGGCTCTGTTATGTAGGTTGCAGGTGCCCCTCCTAGCAATGAACTGTCTACTTGCTCAAATCTCAAGGGCCTTCACCCCCAATTTTGCAGTGGTTGCCTGGCTAATGAGGCATCAGGTACATCTGGAATCTATTAGAGCCTTATAAGTACCATGTCTCTGCACCACAAGGACCACTGGAACAGTGAAGGGTATTACCAATGATGGTATTACTTAACATCGAGTCATTTTCCCCTTTGTCATTGCTGTCATAACTGGCTGGGTTGAGGTTCCCTCTTACAGACACTCCTCCATTATCTGCTAGTGTTATCAGGGTTGCCTTCCTAGCTTGGAGTGCCCCCTTGGACTTCTTGAGTCTTCTTATTTATTTATTTATTTTGTCAAGCAATTATAAGATAACAGGTATAAGTTTAACATAGTTATGAATACATGAAATGGATACATATAAGAAAAATAAAAAGAAACAATAGGACAGGGATGGTAGGCATGTTGGTGTGCTTATGCATGCCCCCTACAGGCTGGGGTGACTTTTTTGATTTCACTGTCCCTGGGGCCCCAGCCTTTGTTTTCCGACTAGAAGCCATACAGTGGTCTAGTTGACTGCAGCGGAAGCACAGGTTGGGCATCCTAGTGGATACGTGTCTCTCTCTGGTGGAGGCACTCTTGAGGGGGTCCTACCTCATTGACTCTTGAGGGGGTCTTACCTCATTCCCTTGAGGGGGTCCTACCTCATTCCCTTGGTCTGTCTGGGAATTGCCTTGGTTTCATAGTCACTTCCCCTTTTAGGCAATACTCCTACAATTCAGCATCTAATTCAGTAATCGTTAGGTACCGTGCTCCAAGCCAGGGGGCTGGCCCTCAATATAGATACGCCTTGTGCAGTGTGGGATCAAGGCCCATCTTAAAGTGATGAACTAACAGTTGTTCTGGCCAACCTCACAACTTGCAGCAATCCAGTGAAAGTCACACATATAGCCCGCTACTGGCCAACCCTTTTGCCTCAACTCCAGGATTTCCCCTTCTACCTGCTCAGCCCTAGTTGCATCCTCAAATCTCTCCCATTGTGCTTTCAAGAATAGGCCCATGTTTTCCAGTTCTCAGGCATGTTTTCTGTGGAGATCCGACACCCATTTGGTGGCCTCACCCTCTAGTACAGCTGTTATTGCCATGACCATGGTCCATTGGGACAGGTAGAGGTGGCTGTACCAGTCCAGGTGGCTAATAACTTGGCTTAAGAAGAGACCTCATCTATCAGGATTTCCATTGAACGTGGTTCTTAAGACTGGTTGTTCCCAGGATAGGAGAAGGGCCTGTCAATATCCCATAGGCCACTCCTGGTCAGTTCCCCTAGGTCCTGCTCACTGCTGGGCCAGATTTGGATTGGATGGCCTAGAGGGCATCCATTGATTTCCACTATTCGCCATTCTTGTTGCCTCCCCATGGTGGTGGCCAGAGCATCTGCTGAACTCTGTTAAGGAGGGGCCCGGTGCCGATCCACTCATTGGTGGTTGCTCTTGGGATCTTCCATAATCAGCATTTAATCTGAATTTTGGGCTGGCCAAGTTAAATCAGTTGGTTGGACTGGTCAGCTGTTCGCTCGACTGTGATTGGGTCTTCCCAGTGGCCAGTGCCTCTCCTCCTGACTCCCAGTGTTGCCAGGACCCTACATTCCAAAAACTGGGCTCCCTGAATCTCTCCCACAGCAGCTCCGTGGTTTGCCTGCCAGGAATTGTGGAATCATTCTCCATCATCATCACCTTCAGAAAGATTCCTCTACATCCATCACATCAAATGGTTGCCGGACAGGCCCAGTGTTGGTAGCAGAATTCCTGAACTGGCAGCTGCTGATGAACTCTACCATCACTCCCCAGCAGAGCCCATCTCCAACCTTATGTCCTGGACTAATGTCTCCTGGGCTGGATGTACAAATTTGATGTCCTCATGCTCCTTGAGCATCATTTTGCGCTGGAAGAACAGTTACTGGGGATGGGTCCCCTGCCCCTTTTATTGCAGCCTCCATTGTTCCCTCAGCTATTCTCCTGACACTCCCCTGCCATTTCACGGCTTCTGGGTATTGGTCATATTGAGAAGAGGAAAAGGAAAACAGGAGGAGCAAATGATTATTGCTGCCTTTCTGTTCCAATTCTCCAAAACCAAGAAACAGAAATAAAAGATTCCAGCTTTTAATTCTGGCAGGCCTGGAAACATTGCACATAGCAACCAAAACAAAGGCAGTAATAACCATTGCTGCTTTCCTGCCTATTTAACCGCGTCCCCTGCATATGCCTGAGAGGCCTGGAATCTTTCCGTTGGGCCTAGTTCTTTCTTCTGCTGCTGGTCAGCTCTCCAGCTGATTTCGGCCAGCTGCTTCTTCATTGTCCACCTCCCACACTGTGAGTCTACTATTTTTCATTATAAGCTTCCCCCCGCCCTCCCCGAATGGCAACCCTGAAATGTTCCATTGGAGGCGCGCCATTTTGAGGGTTGACAATTAGTCTGCAAACTGTTTAAGTGAACTCTCCATTCCCACAGATTATGTCTAGTAAAGTTTTTTTATGAATGACAGCAGATATCTAGAAATTAAGTCGAGAACAAGAATCTAGATTAATAGTATGTGCTATTAGATGACAGTGCAACCAATCCAGTTGTAGTAGCAAAAAGATGGGCAATTCTCCAGGATACTAAAAGCATTATTTAGAAAGAAGTGCCAAAGGCAGTGTATTGTTCAATATTTAACACAAAATCCAGAGAAGAAATTTATAACAAGAACATACTAAGATTTGATATAGAAAAGGAAGTAGTAAGGGGCCCATGATAGCATGGGCAAAAATTTTTGGACACACTATAGAACTAGAAGACATTATACATTAATAAGATCTGTAGCATATAAGGAGAATTAGTAAAATATGTTTTATCATTGGCATTTGACACCAATAGATTGGCAAAGCTGTATCCCAATATGAATCCAAGATATTGGAAATGTAAACAGAGCCAGAGTACCTTCTTCCACATGTGATGGCTATGCTCCAAAGCCAAAAAATACTGGGTCAAAATACGGAATTGGTTGCAAGAAATAATGAAATGTCAAATAGAGTTTAAACCTGAACTGTTCCTTTTAGGGATAATTAAGGGGAAATGTAGTAAGAAGACCAAAATATATGATACTACACATAATGATAGCAGCAAGAATTGCATTTCGACAATGTTGGAAGCAGGATAGTACACCGTCAGAGGAATTAGTAATCCAAAAGGTATTAGAATGTGTTGAAATGGAAAATTCACCAGAGCTAAAAGGCAAAGAAGAGTCAGAGCATTATATGGTGTGGAATAATTGGTATGAATGGTTGAATAGTAGGAATAAGAATAGTAGAGATAAGAAAAATGTATAGAAATGTATATAAATGAATATAATTGTATGGAGATCTGTGAATGTAACATCGATGCCACAGTATTGTTAAAGATGAGAATGAGATATGTAAATGTGAAAAAAGCATAATAAAAATAAATAATAATAAAAAAAGGAAATGAACAGAGCCATCTGCAAGGCTGAAAAAAAGTCTTTCTGACAGCCTCACCTGTAGCAGAGATGAGAATATCAACAATCTCTAGCCCCTAATTCTTCTTAAGCATTGCCAAATGAGGAACAAAACTGGCAGACTTTCTAAGCCTGCCTAAAGCAGGGAGGAGGGAGAGAGATATTCTATTTTTTCTTTATATTTTCTTCTCCTTTTTTTCTTTTCTTTCATTTGTGTATGTGTTGTTGGTTTGTTTTAATTGTAAAATCAATAAAATTTATTTATATATAAAAAAAGAAAACTTTTTTAGCAGTGCTTGTTTTTCTCAGCCCCAAGCCTTTTCTGACGTTTTCCTCTCCTTTGACAGGGGGAGACCTTAGGCACGTACTATAGACATAGATTGGATTCAATAGAAAAAGCAGAACAATTTTATGACAAATATTTTAGATGAAAAGAAGAAAGAACAAGAGACAAGGAAATAATTAAACTTAGAGAAGAGATGGCTGAAGAAAGAGAAAAAGAAAAAAGATAAGAAAAGGACATGAGAAGAAGGAGCAATAGGTGGAAGGGTGGAACCAAAAGAAGCAAAAGAGCAAAGAACAATGAGCACAATAAACCCTACATATAAAGTATAAACAATTGAAGAAGAAAAGAAGTTAATCTCAATAAATGGACTGAATTTGGCCATCAAAAGGAAAAAAAATTTCATAAATTAGAAAAATTAAAGTTAGACATAATCTGCTTACAAGAAGTACACATTATAAAGCAACATGCTCAAGTATTGGACTGTCCCAGAATTGGGAACTTATATACTTCACTGGCACAACAAAATAAAAGAGGAGTAATCCTATATATTAAGAATACAATAAAAGCTAAATTAATTTTTATAGATGAAGAAGGAAGAATATTGATGGTGGAAATAATAGACAATAATTTAAAGAGTGTGCCGGTTGGTTTACAAATTGTTTTGTGCTTCCATTTCATAGTCTTCAATTACAATTACATTACATATAATCTCATATTGTCAATCAAAAACTAAATACCTTAGTATCATTATTAATCAATCATTTGACTATACTTTTATTCATTCATGTTTTACAAGATAACCATAATTTACTTAATTTATTGTATAACAGTTCATATTATCACCCCAAATCTATCCTAAAATCATTTTGTAGTTATAATAAGAAAGAAGTACATCTTTATATATTTATTATTTTCTAGAAATCTACATATTTCATAACTGTACTTTGTTATCTAACCATTGATAGAAAAGATCCCAAATTTTATAAAATTGTTTATCCTCTTGTTCTCTAATTTCAAATGTCAATCGACTCATTTCAGCACATTCCAATATTTTCTTAACGATTTCCTCCTGTGATGGTATCTTCTCATTTTTCCAGTTTTTAGCAAATACAATCCTAGCCGCTGTTAATACATTTACAATCAGGTATTTCCAGTCTTTACTATATATTTCAGGTAAAATTCCCAATAAAAATATCTCTGGTGACTTTGGAAGTATTAAATAGAAATATTAGGAAAGAAAGAGAATGAAAAGAAAAAAGGAGTATAAATTACAGGCATTTGCAGATCTTTATATAAGAAGAACTATTGGAAACAGCTTCTAAACTGATAAAAAAGATTGAAGAATATGGAGAGGTTGCAGGACTGAAAATAAATAAAGAAAAAACTAAGATTTTAGTGAAGAACATAACGGAAAAACAAAGGAAAGCATTGAAGTGAAATACCTGGGAATACAATTGATAGCAAGATGTGGAACACTTAAGAAAGATAATTATTATAAACTAAAACAACAGATTGTGACAGACTTGGGAAAATGGGAAAATGTACAACTATCCTTAACAGGGAGAATATCTACAATTCAAATGAATATACTACTATACTTGTTTCAGATGATTCCAATAAAATTAGGGAAAGAATACTTTGAGGATTTAAATAAAATGATGTTGAAATATATATGGCAGGAAAGAAGACAACAATTAAATTAAAACTATTACAGGATACTAGAATGAGAGGAGATTTTGGACTACCCAATTGGGAATTATAATCAGACAGTAATATTGATATGGATGAAAGAATGGGTTGTTTTTAGAAATACTAGACTGTTAATATTGGAAGGTCACAATCTGCAATTGGGGTGGCATGCATTTTTATGGTATAAGGAAAATAAAATGCATGGATACTTTTGGAGACATTATATTCGAGATGCTTTATTATCAACATGAGAGAAAATAAGGGAACAATATTATTTGAAAATACCAGTCTGGTTATCAACAATAGAGGCATTTGCGTATCCAAATATTTTAAAAATGGAACATATTGTTAGATAGAGTGAAATTTTAAATGAAAAGGGTGAACTCAAAACAAAGCAAGAACTAGATGAACTAAGGATAAATATGAATTGGTATTCATATATGCAAATACATTCTAGATATGAAAAAAATGTAAAATAGATGGGTTTTATAAAGAATTGACTGAATTAGATAAAATCTTAACAAGTACTGAAGAGAGGGTGGTTTTAAAAAAATATGGTTGTTTATTAGGAGTGAAATTAGAAGGAGAACAAGTTAAAGAAATGATGATTGCTTGAGGAAAATTTTTTGGATATGGGATAGATTTGGATAAATAGCAGAAACTATAGACTAGAAACTATAAATTAACAGTGTCAACAGCTTATAAAGATAATTTGTATAAGATGTTTTACAGGTGGCATTTACCCCCAGCAAGAATAGCAAAGATGTTCAAGGACTTAGAATATAACTTTATTACGGTCTTAGACCAGCAATAGACATCACTATTTACAATATAAAAAAAAAGTACTGACACATTATAATACATTAATAGTGGATAAAAACATCCCTGTTAAGAAAATACATGTTCTCAAACAGTAAGGGTCACTCCCTGGTTTATATGAGCGGAGAGCCAATGTGTGTGTAAATATCATTTTCCAAAGATTGTTCTATCTCCAAAAATTGGCACAAATTGACAGCTATATAATTCTGTGACCAATTTTTTTCTTGTAGACATTGCAGCAACAGAGAATTTTGCCACTGCACACATAATAGCTGGGTTTGACTCCTGGAGGAGAAAGCCTACATAAAAATTGCCTGCCATCCCTGGCAATTTTTCTAGTAAGGGGAGAATATACAATGACGTATAAACTCTGTATAACTCACAGTACAATAAAACGTGAGATATCCAACTTCTCCTTTACCACATATATATGTACCTGTTCTGCTATTGGTGTTTTCTTATGCCTGCCCTGAAGGAGTGCTGATGGTAGAATATTAAATCTGGCTCTAAAGAAAACTATTCTTTGTTTTGGGAATATCAGATCATTTAGATATCTTGCCGATTCCCATACTCCCTGTTTGATTCTGTCCCTGCTGTGCAAGCCAACCTATTTAGTTCTTCTTGAAACTCCATGTCCTTCATTCTATTGATTACAACTTGCTTTGCTTGGTCAAAACCTAGGGACATTAAGAATAGTGGTGAGAGCCCATAGGAGTCAAGCTTGTGGTCTATCACCTGTTTCCAGGGCGAGGGGTAGTTATCAGTCAGTACTAGAAAGGTCAGTCCCTCTAGGAAGAAATGTAGTTTTAGCCAATGAATTATCATCATCTTCCAGGCTCTTACATGAATTTGAGGCATGCCTGTCTCAATTCTTAACTGGGCATTTGGAGTTCCTTTGACTGCAGTTAAGATGGCTCACAAGAATTTGGTTTGTATAGGTTCTAGCAAGTCTTTTTTGCAAGGATTCTTGTTTGTGCCCCATATAGAATTTGTGGCAATGTTTTGGCCTCAAAAAGTTAAGGCCGCAGGTCCTATTTGCCCTCCCCTGGTATAAAAAAATATTTAATTGCATTTGAGAATTTATAGGCTGCTTGCAATGTGTGATCCAGGTGTGCCTTCCATGTCCCTTGTGAGTGGAAAACCACCCGAGGTATCTGAATGTCCTAACCTATTCTAAACTATGTCCTTCTATTTTCCAGGAGTACTGTCTAGGTCTTTTAGCAAAAGCTAAAACTTTTGATTTGTCAAAGTTAAGGACTACCTTATTCTGTCTACAATATTCAAGTGTTGACGTAATTGCTCTCTTCAGTCCTATGGAAGTTTGTGAAATTATAGCAGCAGCATCGACATTTTGGAGAATCGGAATTTTACGTTGTGCTACATTAAGAGGATATAAATCAGGATTCTGTAAGAGATTGAACAGGGGGTTAATATAGAAGTTAAAAAGGGAGGGTGACAGGATGCAACCCTGCCATACCCCTTTTGTACCCTTACTGGACCAATTAAAGTCCCTTGAAGATTACACCTAAATGTCAAGCATCCAGAAAGTATCCACTCACTTTCAAGGTGGAATTAGCATACAATTTTTGTATGAGGAAAAGGAGACGTTTATCAATGGTAGTGCATTTTAATTTCTCCCAGAGGGTGTTCCTGGATATTGAATTGAAGGCCTGCTTAAAATCAAGGAAGGCCAGATCTCTTACCAGCAAAGTGCTCCTCAGTTCTTGGTTGTTTTGCAGTCTTCACTGGTGAGAGAAATCTGGTGTCATGGCACTTCGTTCTTTTTCCCATGCCTTATTAGTCCCCAGCAAAACAAAAAAATTTGTCTGTGTTGTGGTCTACACTGTTATTTTCTCCCAAAAATATTATTTAAATAAAAAGTATCCAATGGGAGTACTAAAAGTTGATAAAATAAATAAAACCAAGAGGAGCTGCTACAGCATGCTCTGGCAGCAGCCATTCAAGAACAAATCGGCAAAATGTTGGAAATATCATTAGATACCTGGATCATATTACCATATGTGGTGGACATGTGCAGTAACATACTTGATTATTAATGTTTTAACTGCAGCTAGAATTGTATTTGCTCATAATTGGAAAAATGAGAAAATTCCAACAGAGGAGGAGGTGATTAAGAAAATAATGGAATGTGAAGAAATGAGTAGACTAACATTAGCAATTAAAGAGCAAGAAGAAAAGGACTATGATAAGATTTGGGATTTATTTTATCAATGGCTAGATAGAAGAGTAAGAAATTGAAGTATATTGTAATAGTAATGATATCTTATAATTGATTATTTTTGAATAAGTTATTCTATGAATATAATTTATTAAGAACTGAGATTTGCTTTTAAAGATAGCCTGGAATTGAAATTAAAACTTTAATGATAGCATAATAATGACATAATATGATATGGAATGTTGATTAGAATATAATATGAAATTAAAGAGGAAATGATTATTGATATTGCGCACATGATATATGTACCAAACTGACACATTGTACAATTGAAAGAAGGTTTTATTTGTTGTTTTGTTTGTTATAAAATTTTTTTAAAAAATCAAAAAAAGAAATAATGTCTAACCAAGGCAGTGATCAAGAAGATTTGGGAGCTGTTGGATGTACCCCTTCGCAGTTCCTTTGCAGTCAAAGGGGAGCTGAGCTGCTGTTTGCGTTGAAGATTGAGGAGAAACCAGTGGTATGTCCCAAATGGTCTTTGGGAGTAGAACGGATGGAAATGCTGGAAAAGCTCCCCCCTGGGGTAACGGCTGCCAGATGCTGGCAGGGAGAAGCTGCCTGGCAGGAGGAAGACAAAGAAGACCTCCTGCTGTCCCAAGCTTTGCATTTATTGCATGAAACTCTAGAGAATTGGAGAGCTAGAAAAAGATATGCATTGTCTGTGCGTGAAGCGGCTGGTGAAGCAATGGCGGGGGGCAGAAGCCTCTGCAGCCCCAGAAGTGTTTCCCATAACCCAGCCGAGGCCAGTGCAGGCTGCAGGAATGCCCCCCCCATGGGGGGACAGCACCACAGAGGTGCCAAATTCCAAAAGTTCCTCTGCTGGAAGTAAAATATGGAGGGGATTCCAAGGACTTGGGATTCTTCTTAGCCCAAGTTTAGAATCATATGGAGAAATATGGGGATGATTTTGCCTCAGAAGCAGCCAAAGTGAGCAGAGGTGGGATACAACAGGGTTAACTACTGGTTTGGGATTTATGAGCTTCCCTACAGGCTGTGAACCACGCACCTGTAAATCAGCAGCAACAGCTGCCTGCAGAGAAGCAGTCTTTAAAACAGCCCTCTTTTCTTGCTTTTCTAACTGCAGCTGTGCCTTGTTCAGCAGCTGAAGTTGAAAAATCAGGAAATAAAGATCAGGTAAGAGCCCAGGTGGGTGGGCAGGCAAAAACAGCAGCAGACTATGTCTGTTGCTCTTCAGAGCTACCAGTTCTACAGAGGTGGACAGAACCGGTAGAAACCTGGACTTCCAGTTTGAGCTTCTTCAGTGACAGACTGAAACCACATTTCTGCGAGGCTTCAATCCGTGCTCGCCGCTGGAGCTCCCCGAACCGGCTGGTTTCGTAGGGCTAAGCCACCCCGTAGAGGTGGTGAAGAAGGGGGAGACTGCCTGCAGGGTTGAGAGCCGCATCTTTCCTCCCCAGCTGGCCATTACTCCCTTTCCCAAAGGTGGTTGTAGCGGTGGTCAGAAATGGCCACCACAAAGAAGAACTCAACTGGAAAAGAATGTGCAGGAGGAAGATAAGAAGAGAAAATTTTGGTTGACTGGGTCAAACAGCAAAAGCAACAAATAAGGTACCCTGGAATTGAAACTATTAAAAAAAACAATAACATTGTTCCCTAAGAAGATTTTTAAGCTGTGAAGGAGAGAGAAAAGGGAAAGGATTTGGTTTTTTCCCTCCTTTTCCTATACTGCCAGCTAAGAGATTTAAGCAAGAAATTGGAAAAAAATCCACTTTGACATTAATAGGCATTTAATGCTGAAAATAAAAAGTCAAAGGAAAAATAAAAATTTCTGGATAATCAAAAGCTTTTGAAAACAGGAAAGGAGAGAAAAAGAATAAAAGGGCAGGATCTGGAAGGGAGGAGACTGCCTGGAATTAAAACGGACTTAGAACAAAATCTCAACAAGACTTCCAAAAGATACATTCTAACTGAAATATTGGAACAAAAACCCCAGGAAGAGAAAGTGAAATAAGAAAAAGAAATAAGAAGAAATAGCTTGGAACTATTTGGATTACTTGATGATTTCTGGAATTTGGTTATTGTATTTGAATGACTAAAATCAATCGGGTGGTTGTTTACAACTGTTTAAAATGGTTACACTTTTAGAAGAACTGAAAATGGAACTTTAAAAGTACAAAAAAGATGCACAAGAAGGGAGAGGTTCTTTTGGCTTTGTATTTCAGTTTTTAGAAATGGAGATTTGGAATTATGAGAAACAACAAGAAATGCCTGCAGAACAAGAAGATTGTGACAAAGAAGAAGCCATCTTTAATGAACAAGTAATCTTAGGTGGGGGGAAAAAGGAAAGGGGGGGAAAGAGAATGGAAAGTTTAAGATTGGGAAAAACAACACCAAAAAAAAAGAGAGTGAAAAATAAGTATAAAATCAGAAAGCAACAGAAGAGGGAAATGCAGACGAGAGAATTAGAACTAGAGAAACAAGGGGGTAAAAAGGGGAGGGAGAAGAAGAGAGGGAATAAAGAAAGGAAAAGAAGTTATAAAGGACAGAAACAAAATATAGAGAAACAGGGCCCATTTAGAGATAATGGGTGAAAATTTAATGGAAAAAGGGATTCTGCAAAGGTACATAAGAAAGTATTGTTATATTAGAAACAGAAATAATTTTAGAAAATATGAAACAATGTATGATTAAAATGTTTGATAAAATAGCTATCGTAATTCAGTGGAATGCTTGTCAATAAATAAATGTAACAAAAGGTATATTTAATTATTTACAAAACATGTGAAGAGAAATAAGGGAAAAATTAATTATGGAGATTATATGTGTCTTTAAGGAAGTATGATATTTAATTGAAAAGAACTCTTAAAGATGTTAAGATTTTAATGATTATTAATGATAGACCTGAATTGGAATGGAATGAGGGTTATAATTACATATATTTATAATCTTTTTTAAAAAAGAATATAGCGTGTAAGAATGTACCAAGCAGAGTTCGATTGGAAGTCATGAATTATGTATTATATAGAAGATCATAACCTTAAGGTATATATTGAAGTTTAAATAAGAGTTGAATGGATGTAATTAAAAGATATAAAGTTGTCATACTCCAATTAGTAACTACAGGAGAAAATTTGTTTAATGGGAAAAGATAATATGAAATTGAAACAGAACAGACAAAAGTATAAATATAATGATTTGAATTGAGATGAGATAATCAAAATAAAATGGAGAAAATTAAAAGAGGGGAAAAAACTATATAGAAAATGTAGAATAGTATAAGATATGGAATAGAACACAAAAGGAGCATGAAATTGAGTTTTGTGTCTGTATAAAGAAGTTCAACCCAGGACCATGCTATTTTCAAAAAAGATATTTTCTTTGTATTTTGTATTTGTGAAAACCCAAATAAAACTCTATTAAAAAAAAAAGAACTGGTAGAAACCTACCCCTGAAAGTGAGGTGTGTCACCAAAGCCCTAGAAGGGACTGCAGCCCAATGAATGGTCACCCTTCATAATAATGATGCCCTTCAGCTGAAGGATTATGATATGTTTATGGCAGCTT